AGGAAATCTTAATTTTGGCTATCTTTACATGAAACAATCACCATTCTCTTTGATGATGTGAAAAAAAGAAAAGTCAGAATCAGTGGATATAAACCACTAGATACAAATAAATCTATACAGGATTATGTAAGACTTTATGATAGGCACACAACAGGAAGCTTTAATTATAAAGGTGTTTACTTGCCAGCTGTTTCCAGGCTGATGCTAAAATGAATATTATTCTTTTGTAGAGTGCCAAGAAAAAGGCCTCCTGAGCACTTAAAAAAAAAAATCAGTTAATTGAAATTACCTTCTCATTAGCAGCATTGTACCTGTGTGTAAAAATTTTTCTTCGAGGTGTGGGTAAACAGAAAAAAAACATAGGGAAAATTCTGTATTCTCACAGAAGGTAATAATATTTTTCAGGATAAAAAGTTTAATTTTCCTATCAGCTCTGTTGATTCTGCTATCAAATATGTAAGGAAAAATTATAAGGAATAAACCATTTTCCAGAGAAAAAAATTATAGCTGGTTGAACTGTATGGTTTGCACAGGAACTCTGTAGAGACTACAAAATGCTACAAGAGAGCTTTGATTTCTAAAGCTTTAGGATTTTTACACAGCATATTTTTAAAATTCAAACTAAATAAACAATTTTTTCCTAATACTGCTTGCCACCCTCTCTCTCTCTCTCTCTCTCTCCCTCCTGTTTATATGTTCTGTTTTATTTGGGTTTTCCTCAGCTGCTTTTTTTTTAGGGGTCTGGAAGAGCAGGGGCCATTGTTTGGGGATTTTTTTTTCTCTCACATGGTAAGTAAAATATTATTTCCTATATGTTGCTTCTTTTTTGCTTGTTTTCTGGCCCTGAATTTATGTTGTTCACTACAGTAAAAGGTAGTGTGCACTATTTTGTGCACTGTGCACGATTTTGTGCACAGATCTGTAAACTTTTACTTCAGCTGAGATAAATATGCATAACTACTCAAACTAGTCGTGCTAACCTGAGAAACATCAGTAGGAGCAAAACATTTCCGCATGCAGCTAAGACAAATAGGTGCTGCTGCTTAGAGCCTGAAGACCAGCAACACTGGTTGCTCCTTTTTTTTTCCCCTCTATCAAGACTCTTTAAGAGACCTGAGAGTTTCAGTTGAATAAGCCCTGACTTTTTCTGACTACTGATCAGGAGCAGTGAAAGCACTTCAAAGAAGAGGGTTCCTTAAAGCGAACAGTGTTACTGGCATCAGGGAATTTGATCTTGGCTTAATTTCAAAAGTGGCTACGCAAGCAGCTTGAGAAGAATCAAATTCAGCTAGTGGGGGTGATGGAGTGGCTCCTCCCTATTTTGCCAGAGAAAGCAACTACCTGTGCCAGACAGCAGTGGTGTTCTCTGTGTGCCCTCCCAGCTGTAAGAAATCATGCCGTTCAGAGGACTGCCAGTTCCTACACTCCCGGTTCAAATCCCATTTAGGCAGCAGCTGAACTGTGCCACATGCAGCTTATATGCTGCATCTGAAGTTGGGCTCCTTTGATATCCTCACTAGCAACTGCAACATGAAGTTCATTAAATGAACACGACTAGAGAGTTAAACATTATGTTTATCCCTCAGTTACAAAACTGCAACCTCCTCTAGGAGGTTGTGAACACACTGGCCATGTATGTGCAATCCATTCAATCTCATGCAAATAAATAAGGACCTCACTATTATGTGTATGTACATATATATATATATATATATATATGTATATACACATACAGGTAAAGCGTGAAATAGTTACCATTGTGCTTACAGCATATAAAATATTTAAACTGGACTTCCCATTTTAATTCAAAGCTGGTTTTAATCTTTACATCTAAATTTAAAGTAATAGAAGCAAAAAAAAAAAAAATGGTAAGCCTTCTGCTAACCTCTTTTAGCCCTGCTCTGTATGCATGTGCAGTGAGCTAGGTCACCTGCTGCTACCTGAATGGTTTGAAACACTGACGCAGCCTCTGCACTATCCTCAAAAAGGGGGGTGCATGTGCGTGAATAAAAGGCAATTTTATTTTATCTATCATATGACATTGCACTACTCTTACAATAGAAATTCAGTCATTAGTTGATTTGCTGGTAAATTGTCCAGTCATCAAGAAGAAAGGCATAACCACTAAACCATAACTGTAACTGAAAATCAACAGCTCCACATATCATTATAAGATTAAACATTTCAGACCAGACAGGTCTAAAATGGGCTAGGATAAAATTAGATTCCCTTTTTATCAGAGCTGCTGGTGGATAAGTATTCTGTCACCTAGTTTAATGTGCCATATTAAGGGTTATTTTGAAATCTGGACATGAGCCATGACAACACAGGAAGTTTTGTATCTGTTCAAGCTCAACAACAGTGAAGCATTTTTCCCACAGTTTTATTGTCTAGGTGTGTGTTTACTCTTATGAGGTGAATGAGATGCAGTTCCAGTCAGACAAGTCAGCTTAAGACATCCAGTATAAATGAATGTGGAATATCAGACTTCAGTAATTTTCTAGTACGTTCAATGAGCCAGGGATCTATTCAGTCACCAAGTATGTGATTATGGAATATATAAAATCAAATAAATCTGGAAGGGAGATAAGAGTAAAGTTCAACCGTTAGTCTTAATCCATTATCACTTACTGTTGAGTAGATAAGAATAACACTGTAGAAGTCAGTGGATTTATGTTGCTGTAAAGTTCAACATGAGAGGATATGAGAACAAACTGCTCACACACTTTATTGGGAAATAAAAGGGATGACATAATTATTTTCCAGAGTGCCTCCTATAAATAGAAAGAAAGGTACAGTTTATGGTAAAATATCTCATCAATCAGTAAGAGGGCTATTTTATTGCTACTTATCAGATCTGTGTGTATATTTAAGACATCCATTTCTCTTTAATCTGAGCAAATGAATACTTGCCTACATCGCAAATTTTTAGATTATAGAAGCTTCAAAAGTAGAATGAAAAGCTGCCAACAAGCATTATTTAGGAAGACTGGAGTGTCTATCACGACCTATTATTTTAGTTCTACCATATGTGTATTGATAGGATAATGGATCAAACTTACAATATAAGCAATCTCCTGTTGAGCTCCTGAATACCGCAATTATTTTATCTTAGTTGAAAACCAAGTGGTTAAACAACTGTGAGGAAGAAGCAGAAAAGTTAACTACATGATTTTTTCAAAATACATCTGAATTCATGGTAAGTACTTGATGGGAAACCAACAGTATTTTCAACAAAGGTTAACAACAGATTTGAAGTCTGTTTAATCACAGGTCATCTTGGACTTCTATCTGACAGTATTTCAAAATACTTCAAAAATGTTGAAATGGTATTTCAGATCCAGTCTTATTTGTGCTGTAGTTCCATATTTATGACACTTTCTGGAGATCTGAGTGATATGAATATGTAACAAGAGTAAGATGGAACAGCTGCTAACAATTATTAAATACCTGAAACCATAACTTTTTAGATACTGCTATTAATGATCTAGAAAGTATGTGTTTGCAGTACTGCCCCTTGCAAACTGATCACCACTGTGTCTTCCAGTCATGCCACTAAGCTGTCTCTGGGTTGTCTCTATACACATCCAGTGGAATCATGTCCAGTGGAATCATGTGAAGGCAGAGCGGTAATAGTTAAAAGGTGTATTCTGTTTCTATTTCACCACTAAGAACTACAAACTTAAAATCAAGTGGTATATTATTTTATTACTGCAGACAGCAGGGTTGGTCCCAAGGAATGAAGGAACATTGATCCACAATTTGGGGGAAAAAAAATTAGTTGCAAGAAGTCTCAAAAGTGACACTAAAGTTCAGCTGCCTTATGCCATAATAATTATATGAGCCTATCTCTTTTCATACTCACATAAAACATCAAAATATGCCCTAGGCTGTTCTGCTGTGCGCTAAAATGACAATCCACAGGAACCATTCCAATCAAGAAGGCAGGGGAAGCACTGCAAATACATCTGTGTGCAAACCCCAGTAATCAGCAGATTAAAAATCCTGGCTTGTCCCCTTGGCTTTCTTCTGGCGGCTCTCTGTGGAGACCCCAAGCACTGGGCCAGAGGAGGAAAGGGCTGGGACAATGCCTGATGACCTTGATGGATGAACATGAGCTAGCAGCGTGCCCAAGGTGGCCAGAAAGGCCAATGGCATCCTGGCTTGTACCAAAAATAGTCTGGCCATCTGGACCACCAGGCACTGGTGAGGCTACGCCTCGAGTACTATGTTCAGTTCTGCACCAGGAAGAATACTGAGGTGCTGGAGCATGTCCAGAGAAGGGCAAGAGAGCTGGTGAAGGGTGTGGAGCACAGGTTTTGTGAAGAGTGGCTGAGGGAGCTGGGGTTGTTTAGCCTGGAGAATAAGGGGGCTCAAGGCTTTATGCCTCTCTACAACCTCCTGAAAGAAGGCTGTAGCCAGGTGGGAGTCCTGCTCTTCTACCAAGTAGCAAGTGACAGAATGAGAAGAAATGGCCTCAGGTTGTGCCAGTGGAAGTTTAGGTTAGGACACCATGAGGAATTTCTTCACAGAAACTGTGTTTAGACATTGGAATGGACTGCCCAGGTCCCTGGAAGCATGTAAGGAAAGACTGAACTAGGCACGTAGTGCCATGGGCTAGTTGACATGGTGGTGCTGGGTCATAGGTTGGACTCGATGATCTCCGAGATCTTTTCCAGCCTAACAGATCCCGTGACTCTCTGTCACCGCTGGCACAAGAACGCCGCTCTCGCCGCCGCCGCGGAGGGCGGGGTTGGTGGGAGGAGGACAAGACCCTCACGGTCCCGCTCTCTCGCGAGAGCAGCGCCCAAGCCTCGCGAGAGCTGCCCGCGCCCCGGCTCCCCCTCCTCCGCGGGCAGGGCAGTCGCTCGCTCCAGCTTTTTCTATTTTCCCGCCGTTCGCGCGCGGAGCTGCCGGAGCCAACCAGGTAACGGCGCGCGCGCCGCTCCCGCTCCGCCCGAGGGACGGGCGCTCCCACAGCCCCGCTGGGCCCGGGATCCCGCCGGGCGCGCTGCCGGCACTGCCCCGCCTGCCCCAGGAAGGGGCGTGCGGGACATGCCCGACCCCTCCCCGGCCGTCCCGGCTGCTGGGCGTGACCCGAGCCTGGCGGGAAGCTCCCGTGGCAGGATTTCCCAGAGCATCCCGGCGTGTTTCTCGAGTGAGTTTTCTGCGCGGTGTTCGTGCAGGAGGGAAAGGAGAATAAAGTTCACCGCCGGGAGGTAGAGGAGAGTTGAGTTTGTAGGAGCACCCCGGTGCTCGGGGTTTCTGGAGGGGGCCGGGGCGCCTTGTGCTCCCTAGAATCCCGGAGAGGCGGCGTGTTCCCGACGGAGAGGTGTAAACACGGATCAGCAGCCTCGGCGCGCTGTGGGTGCTGCGGCGTTGCTGGAGGCGATCACTCGTGAAGCCCTGCAGAACCTTACGGTGCCGGAGGGAGATGCTGTGTGCAAGAAGAGGGAAATGGACGTATTTAAGTGGTTCTGTGAGAGCGTCAGTCGGCAGGATATCCGGGAGAGGGGCTGGAGTGGTGCTTCCAGCCCCCCTCAGGCAGCTTCCAGTCCTGTCCGTGCCTGCAAGTGTCTGTACATCCAGCTCAGGTGGTTTGGTTTTGTTTTTTTTTTTTTTTTTTCCCGAAGGACTGGAAAGCCTTTTCTTATGACTGGAGACTAAGGCATCACTTTTACACCTGTGCATCTGCCCAGGCCTGTCAAAGCCTCGACTTAAACAGTTGTTGGGGGCCCTGTATTTTAAGGCAGGTTGAACACCTGTAGGAAGCAATGTATCATTTTGGAATCTTGAAGCAGGTTAAGCTTGGGAAAATGCGTTGCTCTTTTTTTTCTCTGTTTGTATTTAGTCGATTGTACTAATCATTTGCAGAAATTCTGAGCAAGTTTTGTGCATTTTTTTTTCTCAAAGTCATCTTGGGAAAAAAAAACCAAAACATCAAAACTGAAACAAACACTAGGGACAGCATTTACTGTCTAGAGTCAGATGACCTTTCCTGGGAAATGATTCGTCTGACGCACTCAAATCTAAAACAGTAAGTGAAAGCAGGTTTGTGGGTTTCACTGCCCTAGTGCTTGACAGAGGAAAAAGATTGGTTCTGAAATATCTGTTATTGAAGGTGGAAAAACAAGAGTTTAAAAGACATTCCTGATGTCACTAGGCAATGGGTCCCACAAAGCAGCATTGTGAGATGGCTTAATGTGGCTGCACACAAAGTGGAACCTTTCAGCTGCAAAGATGCAAGCAGATTACTGTTTCTTCCGCTGAAGAATTGTAGTCATTGCTAGTTTGAAAAGGTAATTTTATTTTCTATTAAGGACTTCTCTGAAGATAACATTTGCTAGCTTGAAACCAAATACTGAAATAGGCTCTGAATTTTCTATGGACAGTGCATGTTCAAGCATTACTTTAGCACCAAAGTATCCTACTATAGAAAATGTACAGTTCAAGTGTTTCTGTGTTACTGAGAATAATATTTTGTTCCATTATTTTTATTCCACTTTAAAGAAAGACAGACCGAAAGAAAACTGACTTAAGACTGTGCACAGAGATATGAGAAAGGAGAGTGGAACCAAAGCCTCCAGGCCCTACACTGACCACTGGACTGAACATTTTATCGTGGTGAATCTAGGGGACCAGCTGAGCCAGTAGCTATACCCAGATATTCTAAGTTGCTTGAAGGCTCTCAAGGAAGGAAATGCAGCTTCTTGACTAATTGTAGACCTTGTATCTTTTGAACTACATCTGTAACTTATGCCTCAAAAATATGGGAGCAAATTCCTCCTTTTATTTATCTATATAGACATAGTGGTTTGCTTGCTCAGGCTGCTAATTTAGGAAGAGTACAAAATACTTAAGATTTTTTTTTTCTTATTGTATTTTATACTGCAGAGTCATACCACCTAGTAATGACACATTGCCTGCTCAAAAGTATTTGCTTAAAATTGACTGCATAAAAATGGTGAAAACTTAGAATGGCCAGTTTCACACACAGGGAACTGAAGGACAGAAATTATAGGAATATTTCAGTATTGGACATCCAGTGCAGATAGAATTGAATCTTACCTTGGCTCAGATCCAGATCTGAGTACCATGCTTCCCCTGAAGTTTACCTGAGGGCATCATCTGTGCTAAGAAACCCTTCAAGACAAATAGAATCAGCATCATCCACACCTTCAGGGTGACTGTCAGTATAAAAGTATATAAATACATATGATGTAAGGATAGACAGTAAACTTTGTATTTCATCCATGGCTACAAGTTATACTCTGATACATGCAAACATAAGTGTTGTCATTCTGTTGTTACAGGTATACACCTGTCTTCAGAAACAGCTTCTCAACTATGTAATTTAAAATACAAAGTTTGAGAGTGATCCAGTTCTGCAAATAAGGGAGCTGGGAGCAGAAAAAAGCAAGATGAATGCATCTGGAGGAAGCTGTGGGAGCCCTAATTCTGCAGAACCTTCAGGAGATTTCTTCAAGGAACTGTGGTCCAAACTGAAGGAATGTCATGATAAAGAAATACAAGGTAAATCGCTTAAGTTTGGGCTTGTCTTGTCAGGTTAAAGTTTGGGTTTGTCAGCTGCCACCGGAAGACTTTGAACCTAAATACTCCTCATGGAACTAAATAGATTTTTAGTGTCTTAAGTTATGCAGAAAGTTGATTGGATGATTACAAATGATCCTTAAAGATGGTCCACCTAAGCCTGGTATAACAGGTTTAAACTATCAACAAGTATAAATGATTTGCTAGGTCAGTGAAGAAAAAGTAACACAATGTTGCATGGAATTTGTGCTTGCTTAGAAAATATTTAAATGGTACTTTACCTTCAATGGATTATGATTCAAAGTTTTCAGACCCTGTTATTCGATGAATTTTTTTTCTTCTGTCTTTGGCTTTAGTTACTTCAGATTATTAAAACGATTTGCATTGTTTATTTTCCCTAACTTGTGTGAAATACCACTGTAGATTAATGTTACTGAAGTATTCCTTCGCTTTGTAGTGTTCTAAATTTTCTCAGCAAAATTTATAATACTTTTATAAATGCTTATTCTTACATCATGTTTTGTGGTCTGTGATAACAATTTTACTACAGATTGACTGTTAGTGTCTGTTCGTTCTTCAGTAGTTCAGGAAAGATGAATTATTGCACTTTATTGCTATTGCAATATTGTTTTACAGGTAGCATTCATAATTTTTTTTTTGCTAGAAACTTTTCATAAGAAGTTAACGTTTTGTTCTTATAATATAAAGTCACATGATCCATTCTTTTGGATGGAATTAGAACAGTATTTGACAATATCTTCAAATAAGCATATCCTTATCCATGAAGTAGTATTTATATTAGGCTGGAATAAAAGCAGGTGAGTTTTTGTGAATTGAGAGCTTCAGATCTTTACCCAGAGCATTTCAGTGGCCCTGGTTGTTTCTACCAGCCTCAAAACAGTTTTGGGAGTCTGTCCGTTTAGGTCCAGTTATATCATCACTTCTTTATTTCAAAAACTGGGACACTTTTTTATAATGTATAGATGTTACATACCTCCCTCTGAAAGTCTTAATTCAGTAATTTGCAGCACTGGACTGTGATGCTTTCTGCTATTAGTAATTACAAAAAACTAAAAAACTCCAACATCCAACTGAAAAAAACATTTATTATTTTAGCAACTGAAAAGAAAGTTATACCAGAAAGCAGCATTTTGTTACACCAAAGAAAAGTATATGTTAACCATCTGAAATATAATTTTATGTTGTGTTCCAAAACACACCAAAAATTTACTTTTTTTAATTGTTGATGGTTCTTTTCGGAGTGGGTGTGATGTCAACCACAGATAAAGGCGGAAGTACTGACAGAATGGGATCTGGCAATCCGTGGCATGTCTGAACAACAAAAACTGAACAAACAAAAAGCTCCGATGTAGAGAGCTGTTTAAAGTGACCCTTTCTCTAGTTTCTTGGGATGTGCAGCACGTGATTTTAAAGTTTTAGTTTTCTTTATGCAAGCAAGATACTCTTTAGAATGCATGCTGGGTGTGGCCAGGTAATTTTGCCACCAGGCAGTCTTTTTCATGCCTAGCCCTTTGTCAGTATGTCCCACACCGCACTGTGTTAGGTAAAATTAGGTCTTCCATGATAACATCAAAGACATGCCTGAAGGATAGTTAATTTTTTCAGAAGGTGGGGATCCTCTTATAGAAAATGGTACTGGAAGATATTTTAGAAACATCAAACACAGGCTTGCCTGGACTTTGCTTGTTCCTGAAGTCTATAAATAAGAATTAAAATTGACTCATGGGTTTCCAATCTAAATGTCAGCAAAAAATTATTTTAAAGGTGGTGGAAGGTGGATTAAGGGAAAGTCAGTAGCTGGAGAAAAAATCTTTTGGCTTCTACAGTGCACAGCGTACTGAACACTGAAATGGTGGAATTCTTAATTATTTGTTAACTATCCATGACTAGAATTTATGACACATGAACTTGAAATGGTCAGACATATTATATAAGTTATATCTATAGAATGTAAGACTGGAAAATACTTTAAACTCACGCAGTTTGAAATGAATTTTATTAAATTTCGATATTACTATATTGTAAAGGGTGTGTTTTTCCAGTGTTATCTAAAGAAAAATCCAGCTTCTTACTCTTTTAAACTGATGACTTGCAAAAAATTCCAAATGTTGGCCCTCTTCAGACAAAACAGCTATCATTTAGCTCTAGCTCATTATGAGACAATTGGTAGGACACCTGCAACTCAGTTTCCAAAGATGTTGGACGTGGTGGGTGTCTGTTGATTTTTCATAGAGTTCAGAAGTGCTCAGCAGCTCAGAATAACAGTGATTACAACTATATTTGCTTTTATTTCCTATCTGTAGAATGTGTGGGCTACTTGCACAGTGCTCACAAAATTGAAAGGAATTTAATAATGCTTTTTATGAAGTGACTTATTTCTACAGGTCTTAATTCTTACCTCTGGCTTGAAATAATTATGTAGATATTTGGTGCATATGGCTCTTATCAAGATGGTTTCTGAGGATTAATTCAAGTCTAAAGCTCTGTACTAAAACAATATTTTATATATATATATATATCAACATAGAAGTGTGAGCAGAGTTTCATGTACAAGAAATAACCTGTTTTTTTTTCAATTATTCAATTACCTCTGAAAAGCAGAAGATGTCAATAGAGAAAAAACTGTAGTCAGAGATGCAGAGAAATCTATGAGGAAAGCAGTCTTGTTGTTAGATTGCTGTAGGAAAGAAAATAGCTGGAAGTTCCTCAAAAGTAAATAATTATAGAAAATGGAGCTGGAAAGGATTTTAGAAGGTCATCTAGTCCATCTCTATACCCTTAAGGTAGGATTATGTCTGTGTCATTGCTGACAGAAGCTTGTCCAACCTGTTTCAAGAAAACATTAGTGATAAAGATTCTTCAGTTCTCCCAGGCACTGTCAGTTTTAGGAAAATGCATTTAGTGCATTTGAAAATTCACCAGAACAGAAATTGTCATAGCCATTAATGGAAATGTTACAGGTATGTAGTCTAATCAAGTAGCAAGGTTCATAAATTAGTGTTGTGTGTTGAATTAATCTGCCTAATGACAGTTTAAAGAAGGCCTCCATCACTTTAATGGGGATAATGTGTCTTTTACTAATGCTCATAGGAGCTTTAGGCAATGTAGATTTATATAATCTGCAGCTTGTCTATTCCACAGAAATAGTGTGTAAAAGACACAATTGAACTGGGAAGTTACATAGTGCAATTCCACATAGGTTTATATACTCACTAGGGTGTTAAATAAGGAAACCCGAAAAAACAAAGCTTCTGAAATGAGTGTGCATAAAAACTCGCAATGCCCTGGAAAAGCAAAAGGAAGAGATTATACCAGATGTAGTAATTCAATGCTCTTGGATAAATGTAACAGACTGGTTTCCTGCCTTCTCATTGCAGTCATTGAACTAAGAAAAAATGCAACCTTTAAGTAACTAGTTTGGTTCCTCCTGAATTCAGGTGAGAGGGGAGATAGTGTTACCCGTTGCACAGTAGTGGGCCTTTTGAGCCCTGCCTCTTCAATTGGTGGCTCAGGTTGCCAAAGTTACAATCCTAAATACTTGCTGAACAGACTACCTGTTCATACAGGAGATGCATTGTTGTGCAGCTTCATTCCTTCCGATGGGTGTGGAGCAGCATTAAAGCACGCTTTATAGGGGTTCTAATTGCAGATGCCTAATTGACTTGATGAATAGCAACTACTTAAAAAAATAAACCCTCTTTCTGTGCTGATCTGCATGATAGAACATAACATCTCACAGGTGCTGAACACTTGGAGATAAAAGAAATCTTGCTATATTTCATAACTAATTTTTTAAGTAGTCTTTCTGCATTTTTATCTAAGTGTCTCACTAGCACCTTGCAGGAAGCATGGGGTCATGATGTTGTAAGTGGCCTGAGGAGTGAACCTTCTCGAGCTAATAGTTTTCCCCTTTGTTCCCAGTTAAGCATGGTAGGGGAGAAAAAAAAAAGTCTGTTAGCTGCCTTAGCCTACATTTTCTATAGTAAGATGTAGTATCAGCTCTGTGTTTTACCTTAAATTCAGACTTGTTGGAAGTTTTCTTAAAAGTGTTCTGATTTTATAAGTTTATCCTGTTATCCAAAATGCATAATGCTTTTGCAAGAGAACTTACAAGACACCTAATGTTCGACCTGAAGCTGATAACAGCCTTTCATAATTAGAAGAAAATAATGGTGCTAGGAAAAAATTATGTGATTTTCTGATGTCACACAAAAATTTCTGTTGGATTTGTATTTAAGAAAATGTTCTATCATTGTGGTCTGATTATTTGTGACCATTTTTTTGGAATAGGAATGGCCAGCTTGTGTGTGGGTAATCACATACACTGCATCCAGCTTGTTAAGCTGTGCTGTACTTGGAGCACCTTTATCTTCCTGCCCCTGTGCACATACAAATGCATCCAAAACCTTGTGAGCAGATTGGCTGGACAGTGTTCTGTCCCCTGGGCTGTCAGCTGACCAGTCCCGTTGAGAACATCAGCTGTATTTGCAAACCTGTATACTTCTGTGCAGAATACATGTTTAGGAGTGTGGGAGTCTTAGTGGGAGAAAGGCCACAGATGAAATATCATTCCTCACCTTAAGATCTTCCAAAGAAGCTTTGGCTGAGAGAATCTGGTATCTCATCTCCAATGGAGTCTGTCACCCTTTTGTGCTTTAAAGGTTTGGATCACATATTTTTGATGTTTCTTTTATGCATATACACTGTAATGCTTTGCACAGTTCAGTGGTTGGATGCTTCATTTCCAGTGTAGTATTATGCATTTATGTGCACACAGAACATGATTTATGCTACTTAGGTGGGCATAGTCAATGAAAATATATTGATGGTGCTGGCTATTCATGTGTGGGTTTTTTACAGAAGTGTTTTATACCTGTTTAAGTGGGAATTTGAGTGTTTGCGTAAGAAGTCCCTATTTCCTAGAGATAGTAATAACTGTATTTGTTTCCAAGATCCTGTAGAACATACTCGAAAAGTCCAGAATGAACCATTAACTTGGTTAGAGCATGGTGCTAATAATGCCAAGGTTGTGGGTTTGATCCCCATAAGGGCCATTAGCGTACAAGTTGGACTCGATGATCCTTTTGGGTCCCTTCCAACTCAGAATATTCTGTGATTTCTGTGATCTTCTCCCCAGACTAGTGACATTTTTTTTTGTCTCTTTGCAGATGTTTATTGTTTCCCTCATTTTTTACAATCAGAATTCTGTAACATGTATTTTCTTCTTTCTACTTTTCAGGCTTACAGCTGAAAATATCTAAGTTAAAAAAGGAAAGATGCTTGTAAGTACTCATCCCAATGATTTAATTTATTAAAGGACAGTAAGACTGCCATTAATGAGCTGTAATTTTTGTAAGATCAATTGAGGTTTCATGGAATCTTCCTTCAGATATGTACTAAACTCTGCTCACTTCAGTAACTCAGCTGAAGTCATCTGAAGATGTAGGGTGTGTAGCCTGAACACTGCACTTGCCTTCTTTGAACAAGTGACTCCTACAGTTTTCTTATCTATGGTATTTCTAGGATGACAGTCAAGATGTTGGCATTGCTAATACAAAAGATAATTAGGGAGACATTTCAAAATTGAGGTATTGTGCATTAACTCAGCTTTCAGTCATTCAGCAATGATTCTGCTAATAATCTTGCTAATTTTCACTCAATTTTGTATTTTAAGATCTATACAGCTTCTTTTGCAGCCATTATATGCTACTTATTTTTAGTGCTGTTCATTAGAAGCAATTTGGGAAAAATCTGAATTACAAGATTTACATGTACAGTAGAATTATATATTTACAGCATGAAATTAACATTACTTTTCCTGCTGCTGACTACAGCCATATTTAATTAAATGATAACAGTCATGCTTATGTGATTCTTTATTTGAATTTTCACTTCAGATTTGATTGCATTAATATTATGGTTACTATTACATATGATCTATATTATGAGTTGCGCTTTATAAAGTAGCTGTGTAGGAGGAATAGGAATAAATTACTTGATCTTTTTCCACCGTGGAAAACAATATAATTATATTATATATATTAAAGAAATTCAACTCTTCTGAGAAGTAGCAAAAGTACTCCAGATTTGCATTGCCATCTGCAGTCAAAGACATATAATCTTATATTGAAGTAGCACAAGGAATATATTTATGTTAGCACATGATATTATATTAGGTTATTATACAGCTTTCAATTAGCAAATATTTGGTGCTATGTATTATTCTTAGAGACTACACTTCCGCTTCTGGAAAAAAATCAATTTAACATCTTGTTATTTCTTAAGTATAGTTTATAAATTAAGTAGTTATTCATTTTTAATCTAAAAGAATGAAATTCTCTCTTGCTGTTTTTGTTAGCCTGGTGTATCATAAATTGCTTCCATGTTATGAAATCTCAAATGATCAGTTTTCTAAATGGTGAATATTATCAGTGGTGTGACTGAACACATACCAAATGGTTTAATCATTATTTTTTGGAATCTTTCTACAACTCCCACATTGTAGATACAGTACTGTTACATAGGAGGTCTTGTTCTCCTTGGTACATCTAAATACCTGAGGTTTAGTGTTTCAGACTTGGTAATCAACTGACAATGAGTGCCTTATTTTGTATCCCACTCCAACATTGAAGCTAATGACTTATAAACTCTAGGTCAGAGACCAGCCATAATGCAGAGTGTCTTCATAGCCAAAAATGTCTCTGTCACATTTATCAGCTTGAATTTTAAGGGAAAAAAACCAAAAACCAAAAAACAACCAATAACCTAGTTCCTTCTGTCATGTCAGTACCTTCATGGAATATTTTATAGGGTTTAGGTGGAAGGCATGTAGTATTAGTGTATGTTAGTATTGTCTTCTTTATTTGTTAAAAATAACTTAAGCCCATGGAATGACTTAACTAGAGAAAGGATTTTAAATTTTGCCGCTTTAGGCCTCCTGTAAGTTGCATAAATTGAAAAAAAGGAGATTTTTTTTTTTTTTTAATGCCCTAAATACCGGAAAAACACAGATTGCTTTTCTCAATTCAAATTTTGCCATGGCCTGGCTGTACTTCTTTACTGAACTGATATAGCAGAACTTTAATGCATTGTCCTCCCCAAGTGAAAGTACAAGTCTTAAATGGTCCCTCAGGCTGTTTGCATGTAACTGTTTTATAGGTTGAATATGCAATTGAAAAGGCCTAAATTGGTCTCGATGGTAGTACAGAAAGATAAAGCGTCTGTATTTAGAATTCAGGATTAATAAAACGTGTCTGTGATTATACACTGTAGAAGCTTCCAGCAATCCCATTCACTCTGTGACCCATGATTTCTAATTTCTTGTGCCACTGGAATGCCAGCAATATGAAAATGTGTTTGACTAAACATATGTTCAAGAGGTAGTGCCAATACAAAATATGTTTGTGTAAAAAAACTGTATCAACAAGTTAGTAAACATGTTTTCATTTCCTGTTGTATGTGAGCTTTACAGCTTTTCATGAGCCAATTTCATAGCTTCCTCAAATAATCCATCTCAGGCACACTGAAAACAAACAACCGCTTTCATGGATGTGTGCAAAGGATTCCATGGTAAAAAGAAGAGCTGGAAATGAATTCTCAGAAGTTAGTCGTTGTCGTGTTACATGGATTCAGTTGCTTAGCTTTTACTGAATGTTAATTGCCTTGTAAAAAAAAAAATTGTTCTTCTGGCTCGTACATTGCATCTTGAAGAGATGTGGTGATCGTATAATGAAAGTGAAGGGGAGCTAAAACTGGGAAGTTATTGTTATTGCTTTTCCTTTCCTATTTTAAGGAGGAAATACTCTTTGTTAATTAATTAACTCTGGCTTTTAGGGAACATATTTTTCTCAAGATCTTCTATTTCTGAGGGTTTTGGAAAGAGTTCTTTTTGCTGTATTCATATTACAGGAATATATGCTCTATAGACTCTGCAAATTGTTTCTTGAGAAAATAAACCTCTAATGGACCTAAAGACTTTTCAGAGATTTTTAAACCTAATGTGGTTTGCCACACTGCAACAACATTCACTGCCTGCTAAGAAAAGACCAAAATGACCTGATTGTGAAAGCCCCCATTAGATTCCCAACAGCTTCTCAACACAGTAAAGTATAAGAGAAGTGTTTGTGCTTATGTTCTCTGAAATTTGTTGCTTGAATATTATTAGCTTTTATACTTTGACTGTCAACTCTTTTACCTGAGCAAAAATAAGATTTATCAACAGAAGATCAACTGTAATATGAATTAGAAACTAGCTGCATCTTTCCTAACTCAGTAATTTCTAAATTATCATTCATCACAAACACTTGCTTCATTTATCTTCAACTTAATATTTGTGCTGAAGATAATAAGATTTTCCCAAGAAAATGAAAGAAATATCCCAGAGAGAATTCTCTATTGAAAAATTAATAGCTGTAATTTAAAGCTAGAACTAATTTTTCTCTGTTTGATTTCAGGGATGCAGAGAGGCTTGAAGAGTTCTATACCAAGAACCAACAACTCAGAGAACAGCAAAAAGCACTTCATGACACCATCAAGGTTTTAGAAGACAGGTGAAGTGGTGTTTTCTAGCCTTTGAGTTTGTTGTGTTTTGCTCTAACAGAGTAGCTCTGGAAACTTTGCAAGTTGAATTTACTATGTTTTGATGGTTTTGTTATACTGTTATTTTTGAAGTGCTTAGCTTGCTTAGTTCAGTTAAGATACATAGAACAGAGCAGCTGGGGAGGCAAACAGACATTTTAGGGTACATTCTCTTACATCTATTTTTGTAGAGGTAAATGTACATGTGAATCAAGACGTAATACAAGTACAAAACCTAAAGTCTGTAATATATTTTGAAGCTCATTTAATAACTCACTAGGAAATCTTTCAAATTTGTGGGAGTCTCTTTTCCCCATTGTCTGTTCTACCTAAATTTAATTACAAGTCCTGTCCTTTGCTTTCTTTTGGACTTCGTTGTCCTCATTGCCTTTTGATCCATTCTGCCTCTCCCTTATTTGTTCCTGTTTAAGCTGGTGTAGCGAAACAAAACCAATAGACATGAAATTACAGTGCGTTTTTTCATCTTTAGAAGTTATACCTGTTTTGGTAAATTAACATAATACATGCTTTACAGACTCTGCAAATTGTTTCTTGAGGAAGTAAGCCTCTGCTGGACCTAAAGACTTTTCAGAGATTTCTAAACCTAATATGGTTTGGCGGTCTGCACAGCTGTCAGAAATTTTCTGGTTTTTGTTGTTCAAAAGGTCTGTTAACGTGGATATCCGCTTCATATATGGCAATATTTTCTTAACAGAAGGACATTTTTCTCTCAATTTTATTGTAGATTAAGAGCAGGATTATGTGATCGATGTGCTGTAACTGAAGAACACATGAGAAAGAAGCAGCAAGAGTTTGAAAACATCCGGCAGCAGAATCTCAAACTTATTACTGAGCTTAGTGAGTTTTATCCACAAGTCTGAAAACAAAACATACTATTTTGTAGACTAGTTCTTCATTAATTCCTGTAACTTGGTATAATTTATATGTGGTGTGCTTAGTAAGCCCGAAAAGTTCAGTCGGGGGATACTTTAAATCTACAGTCTGAAAATATGTAGCATACCAATTACTAGTCATTTGACCCACCTTCTTAGATTGAAGTGCTGATACTGAAAGTGAACTGACGTGGAAAATCTTACAGTGTAAAGTAGCTACTTTAGATAAAATGTGACTGCTTCTGTTTATTCCTGCAGCTAGAATGACTGATTGCCAGCTTTCCTAAAGAGACCATGACTTCAAAGGAACTGGTGATCGCAAAGTAACGAGTTCAGACTAAGTGCCCTGGGTCCAGCTTGCGTCCTGTAGTTAATTGAACTTGAACTTTAACTGCAATAAACCCATAACTTTCACATAACCCACTGAAACCAAAAAAGAATCTGCACCAGGCAGCTTGTAGACAGCGCAGTTCATAAAGAGAGTTTGGAAAGATTGGTTATATGAAGTGCTAAATAATAGAGGACAGGATTTTAAAATGTTAATTGTATTTTTACCATTAATTATTTTGTATCATTTAGTTGTCTTGCTTGATCAAGAGCAAGACATTCAATGAGCTTTAAGACATGAGAAATTCAAAATAAAAAAAGTAGCTTTTCAATGCTTAATTAAGTTATGGAAATACTATGTTCCGTGCTAATACAAAATACATCAATTTTTTAATGATTTTTATTATTGGACATTTATGTAAAAATATTCTGAATTCTGCATTTAATGATTGGCTGTACCCTGTTTGTTGTTAATCTTTCAATAAAGCTTTGAACCTTAAAAATCAAGGTCTGACCTATTAGGTGCAAACCTTCCAGAACACTGACTGACAGAACAGTAGGGTTCTGTGGATTTGGGTTGAGATCTATATAACAGCCAGTGAAAGGTCAGTCAAAAGTAACCCAGAGGTAAAATAAACAACAACAACAAAACAAGAACAAGAATACTAAAATTAAAGCAAACAGAAAAGTTGGGAGCTAATCACTCTGTTATTTTGAGAGCATGGAAAAAAGGCTGAAGGGTGATGCCTTAAGCTTGTGTGAAGCAACGACAGAATGAACTGGAAATTAAGGAAAGTAAAATCAAAATGTTCTGACTAGTCTCTCTTAATTTCCAAAATATTTGACTGATTTAAAATAAATTCTTGGTGGAGGTTTCTTTTCATTCTGTTCAACTGGCTGGTTGCTTCAGTGGGTAAAACCAAATTCTAGTTGTATTATACTTCATAGGTTATCCTCAGCCTAAGGAAGCAGTTTTGTCTTTGGATTCAAGTGAGCAATTCATTCATATTTACAGCACAGTCTCACTTGTGTGTATGTGGACAAAAGTAATTAATGATTGCATAGAACAAATATTACGATCCAGTAATTGTGACACCTTTCTCTTTCCTAACACATCATTTGCAACTTTTTTAATGATTAGCTTAAAACTTCGTTTTTGTAAACCATATAGAGAGTTTTATATTTTAAAATTTTACATTGCATAATTAGTTACAATTACAACTAAAGGACCTGACAAGATTATGATATTAACATGTGTGCGTTATTTTTCTCTTTTTTTGCATAAACTCTAGTGAATGAAAAAAACAACTTACAGGATGAAAATAAAAAGATAACTGAACAGTTTCAGCAATTACAGAAGGAGCTGGAGTAAGTTTCACGTTGTTTTAGATATTTCCCCCTTTCCCCTATTCCCCAGTAGAAATGTCTGGGAATATAAACATCATCTTTTAAGTGTTTAAAACTTGTTTCCTTGTTTTGATAGACTGTGAAAAGATAGCATGCTACCACTATAGCAACATAAGCCTAGCCTCTTTGTAATGTGCAGATTTTTTGTTTTCTTTTAAATGGGCGTGTCTTTTTTTAAACCAAGAGAGGTAAATTTATCATTGAAATTTTTGTTGACTTCTGGTCACGGTGTAGAGCAAAGCCTTATGTCTCATACTTTTATTCCTCAGTCGACTCTTTATCAGTTCTTTCCTTCTAGGTTAAAACTTCAGAAAAGTAGTTTCTTAGAAAATCCCAGGGTCTTACAAAACATTTTGTAAAATAAACTTACAATAATTTTACGATGTAAAAGAAAAAAGACCATAGTAAATTTTGAAAGAAAACCATGAAAATGGGGAGCTACAAAGGGACTATGAAGTTGTAATCTGATGTAGCAAGAATGTGCTAATGTTGTGGTTAATATGCAGATATGATGCACTGTAAAGTCAGAGGTAGTATTGCATTCTTGTTATGGTTTGACATCATCTGAAACTTATCTCACTTTTGCCAGGGAAGACCAGGGAAAAGGTCCTCCACAGTGCAGTAGTTACATGTTGACTTCAGGTCTGAAGAACTAGGGTTTTATGCTGTTCCTTGGCTTTATGGAGCAATGGTGAATTTGTTTTTAAATGTATCTCAAAACTGGCTTGTAGTATTCCTTTTTGACACTGTGATGCTATTGAGATGGCTGCATTTCCTAATTGCTGCTTTCTTGGACCATATGATTGTCCTGCTTGCTGAAATGAAAACTCTTCATCTTGCTGACTTGGGGTTTTATTTGACCACCTGATTTGGTCTCCAGGGAGCAAAAGCTGCAAGCAGTGGAATTAGAAGAAGGAGTCATTCCAGATTCTCCAGTTATGACCTCTTCATTTTCTATGGCCAATCGTATGAGGAGAAAAAAAGAGAATAGGCATATCCGATACACAGAACATGCACACTCAGATTTGGAACTTAGCAAAAGTGGTAAGAGTATTGTTTTTGGTTTTTTTAATCAACTTAAAAATTATCTTAAGGGCTACGGAGAAAGATGATGTATAAATTTGATTGCAAAGGGCAAAAACTGAAAAAAAAAAATCTTTACCTTTTATGATTTGCCTTTTTCAATTTTGTGCAATAGTATGTAAGCCAGGGAAAAATGTCTTTGGCAGTAACTGTTACGTCAGCAATATGCTCAGAACTTATCTCAGCCTTGTACTTTTCTTCGTCCTCGTGCAAATGTAACAGTTTTTCAACCTGTATTTCTTCTATAAGTACAAGTTAGCTAAAAAAAAAAATCTGTTCAGGTTTGCCTTGTGCATGCACCAATGTCACCACCTAGTGGAGAGGGAAACAAATGTTTTGCCACATTCTGCAATTCTTCTGCAATTAAAGTAATTTTATTGAAACTGGTAGATACCTACGTGATCTTTATTCTTCTAGTACTGATACACCATTTGTGCTTGTGTTCTGTCTTAAGTCCAGGAGTATTGTCCACATTTTATTTCCCGACCTTGTTCTGTAAGTTCTAATGGATTTTAACTATGAGAAATATTTTTGTCAAATAAGGGTCTTTGTGCTTGTATTTTAATGATACACAGGAAATATGATAATCCAGGTGCTCTTATTGTGTTCATTTATCTTTTGGCATAAAAAAAAGGTATTTAAAGTAATATTTGAATGTATTTAAATAGGAGTCTTGACTAAAAGCCTCTTTCAAAGAATAAAAATAGAACAACAGTGGAGTGAAAAGGGTGTGCTGGTTATTCATGCCCCTTATTTTGCATTTGAAATGTTTAGTGCTGTGAATAATTTCTCTTTTCTAAACACACCTGTACCTCTCCATTTTCTGAATAAAAAAAATGGAGCTACTAAATGAATCCAAAGTATAACATGAATGTTATACTGAAATGGTGTAAATACTTGTCACAGTTAATGGCCATGAAAAGCTATCAGCAGAGTTCGTCATAATTCAGATCTCAGATTCTCACCTTTTTACTTTATTATCTTAGCTGATGCAGAGCATTAGACCCTTGGGTGGTTTACTCTTCAATTGTTTTGTTGCCATATTAACAGGTCAAATAGAGCTTGAACACGTATATTCATATGGTCAGTATGGACAATGGTATAATCCTTTGTTAGTGTTGTTTTAGGGCTGACTGGCTGGGGTCATATTTGTGAGGAAAAGGATTAATATGAAATATTTGTGACTTTATTCTGAGGTATCATTATGACAAATTATCAGGTGGGTTTAGATTACTGGATCTACTGACATATCAACACTCATTTTCAAGTGCTTTTAAGATCAGGATCATTGTCTGTATGTATGCAAAATTATCACAACAGGATACCTAATTTCACGAAGTGAAATGTTTCTACATTTCCTAGAGTATGGAAAAATTCCACTCTTTTCCACGCAAGTGAGCAGCAACCACAGAGAAGAGATACTAGTGGCAGACACCTGTGATCCACAACTGTCCCCTATACAAAGTAAGTAGAGTAATAGATTTAGTTCTAATTACATTCAAAATAAGGCAAAAATATTGTAAAACTGAGGGTTCATCTCTTTAACCTCTCTTTAACAAAGAAATGTGAAAAGGTGCAAACCTTTTTAACTCTTTAATGACTGTGAGAATTAGCATGGAATCATTCATGCAGATCAGGGTTGTGGTGGTTGTAGTTCTTGTGCTTTCTAATCTTATTAACTTGCCCCAGCATAATGAACTGAGTAATGTTAAACCCCTCAAAGAAGCAAAACTCATCTATTTGTTTTTCTAATAAAAACATAGGAAAAATAATGGTGACTGTCACCAAGGAAAAATGCAAGAGAAGCATTTTACTGTAAATACATGTCACCACTGTTCTACGTGCTTTTCTCAGACTATTTCTGCCCTGGACTGGAAGACTGAAAAGCAACTTTTACACTGACTGGTCTTTGTATTTTAATTTTGGGAAACTATATTTAAATTGGAAGCATATTTCTCTGTACTGATATAGCAGTTTGCTCTCATCAGAAATTCTTCTTCTGCCCCCCTTCTCCACTTAGCACTTTCAGATATGATTTTTATCTGACAGAGGTCAAACTGTTTCCATAAATGCCAGTTTTAATTTGTGAACTTTTTAGTTCTGTGTTTCTACCATCTGTGTGAGTGGACTAAGAGACTATAATAACTTACTATGATCTTCTCACAAAGATAAACCAACGGTGGGAGGCTATCCTGTTCCAAAGCCATCTCTTAACTTGGCTGCAGTCGTCCCAGAAACAATTGGACTTGGTGTTCAAGAGGAATCTGTAAGTAGTATTCCCAAATTTCTTTCATAACCAGCTTTTTGGGCCAGTTGTTTTCAAAACCAGTGGTTTTTTCTCTTTTGCATTAAGACTCTGCAAAGGTATTCTGCGTTCCAGTAAGCTCACTTTGGATTGCTTTTGCTTACTCATTACTGAATTGCTCTAGCAAGAAGAGATACAACTCAGCTGTCTGGGGGCTGGGGAGAAGGGCAGGGATATGGTTCCAGCTTTGTATGGAACTTGCAAGTGTTATTAATACAGTGATCTAAACCTTTGGGTCTGCCAAACTCCTTCTGTGCAGTAATCAAGTCTAAGACATTGAAATAGAGTATTAAGTGATGAGACTGTTTGGTGATTCTAGGTCAAATTATTTGATGGTTTTGATCAGTAACTACCATAAAAACTATAATATGCAGAGTATTTCTCCGTGTGTTAGCATTTGAATGATGAATTATTTTCAATTTCCATAAGATTTCTTTACAGTTGCTAGTCAAAAGTTCATCTCCTAGCATTTATTATTTTTTAATGAAGTTTTGAGTGTTTCAATTTGAATGGGTCCTCTGAGTATTTATGTGCAAATCTAGCATATTTCTAATTTTTAATTCCAATATCTTCTCACACTTCCTTTCTTTGTTTTCCTTCACCATCTGTAGGAGTCCCAAAGTGTACTGAATCTTCCCCACACAAATACAGTTATGAGCCAGGCCCCAGAGATCATGCAGACTGAAGACTCAAGAAAGCATCCAGCTCCTGAATCAAGAAGTGATGACACCAATTTAGGGTGTGTTTCCACACAGTTATAATAATACTGTTTTAAGCAGGCTTATATGAAGTTCTAGTTTTAGTAGAATTTAAAACCTTAACAGGATTTTGCTTTGAAGACATGGAAATAAGTGTTGTCATATCATAGATGTTTCTTTCAAGTAAATAACATTGGAAGCAAAGAAACTGATAGAATGCAAAACTGTGGACTTTTACTTCATTCACAAACTTCTGATTTGGGCTTTTTGTGTACACAGTCCCTGCCTTCCTTACTTCTCATTATTGCAAGGCATCTTGTGAGGCTCATAACCCTGGTGGATAACGGGCCTAAAGCTGGAATAGGAAAATGATCATTAAACTTTTCTGCTGATTAGGTGTCATACTGATTTAATGTTGCACTTCCCTTCCCACTCTTCTCATGGTGTTGTGGTCTAAACTGAATTTTTTTGGCCCTATTTGTCATCTCGATCGTATGTTTTATTGATGACAGGTAAAAAAAAGAGTACCTGAAAGAAACGTCCACTTTTTTCCTTCACTTACAGAAGCTTTGAGAAAATGTTGTCTTGGTTTTAAGATCTATAAAAGAACCTAGATTGGCTGCAATATCTTTCTGTCTTTCTTCCTTTTCACTGCACTGAAAGGTAGGGAGTCTTTAGATAGAAGAAATTTCAAGGCAGGCTTAGGTCTCTCCTTGGTTTTCAGTTGAGCGTGGTACAAGATTTTCATGCCATACCAGAACGAAGGGCGAGATCTGTGTTTTGTTTGCCTTTACAGCTCTTTGATTGCAACAGTCCTTACTCCTAGAATAAGTTCCCTTTGGTTTTTCTTTCTGTTTCCAGTTAACACTAGCAACTTGTGCAGCTTTGTAGCAAATCAGTGATAAGAAACTTATAATTTCTGTATATCCCTTTCTCTCCTCCCAACCTGTGTACACCAGAAAAATCTCTCATCTCTCATTGTATTCAGTTTTTCAGATCCATCTGAGAACACTCCACCACATGTTGACTGGGATGCTCAGGTAGCCTCTCCTGTTTTTGGAGCTTCTAGCAGTATGAAGAACAACTCAAGTACAGGTCATGCTCCTTGTATTTTAGATTCAGGATTGAAGCCTAATCTCAAAACCAACCTCTTCAACAATCCATCCGGTTCTAGATCTCATAAAAGTAAATCAAAATCTGAAGATGTTGCTTTTGTGGCACCACTGAACCTTGGAACGGAAATCAACTCAGTTATCAACCAGGTGTCTATCAATAGGCAAATAGTTGTGAAAAAGAATACTAGTGAGGCTGTAATCTGTGTTGGAAACACTTGCACAGCTAAAAATGAGGTGATCAAGAGTGATTTCCTTCTCGTACACCAGAAACAGCTGGAAGGCAGGTGTGCTAAGAGAAAGAAAACTGAAGATGATCATGCAGTTGGCTGTGAAAAAACATCTTTTAACAAAGAGAACTCTGTGCCCTTTCGATCAGATGTCCAGCATATTAATGGGGAACATACAGTTGATAAGCCCTTGGATCTGTCTGATCGCTTCTCTGGAGTTCGTTGTCAAGACAAAAAACAAGGAAGTGAGGAGACATGTAAAAATAGACTGAAACAGGTGACTCTGCATGACGTTTTTTCACAAGTAGGGAAGCCCATTCCTGAAGGTTCATCGTCCATTCAAAATGCCAACGAGAGCTGTTTGCTTGTCAGAGATTTACAAGAGGAATCGTACATACAAGAGGCAATGCTGGGAAAAACATTCCCAGATAAGAAAAAACAGATCCAAATGAAAGAAGAAGTTCCTCCGTTCAAATTTGCACCATTGCCAAGTTCTGCAGAGACAGAGGAACTTTTTGGTGATGTACAGGTACACTTTTCTGACTTCTTTTCTGCTTCTTTGAAATATTATATTTAAGTTTTGGGAAATAGTAAAATTGCAATATGTTGTTAGGTTACCACTGGCCATGTACCAAATAGAAAGAAAACAAGGACAGGACACGGAGAGTCTGAACCAGCATCTGTACTTCAACCAAACCCTTGTAGAGTATCAAAAAGTAAAGCACTGCAAGATGAGCAAGGTAACTTGATGAAAATGTTCCTTTTCTTGCCACCCTACCCCCTCAGCCTGTGCTGTGGTTGAACAGAATGTTTTGTATGTTCCTTTCTTCCACTTTAATCACTTTGTTCTTCTTCTAACTCAGACTCATTCTATTCAGGACTTCTTAAGATCACCCCCCACATTTACATCTTGTATCTTCCTGGCATTCTTTTGCCACTGTTTAATAAATATATTGTTGATATTCAGGTGTACGCACAACAGGCTAGGAATCTCGTTCGTTCTTGTTTATTTAGCATTGTTATTGTTCAGCAGTGTAATAATAAAAATCCTAGCAAGTTTGAGTTTAAACTTTTCTCAAATGCTTGAAAGTGTAAGGATAAGCTATTTGTTTAATATTCTTCATTCTTCCTAACAATCTGTTAAAGAAATTTGTACCTTTAGTGATAATAAACACAGGCTACCATATTCTCTTTCTGTATATATACTCTTCCTTGTATCTTCTTTCCTATTAAGTGTTCTCGGTCTGAAAACTAATTTTTTGAACTAAGACTGTAGAATCAAGGCTTCTGTACTCCTTAGCTGAGCTATTACACTGCATACTTTATTTAGAAATACTTGCATTATGAATTTAAAACATATCTGTCACTAGTTGGTGTGGCTGTGTAGGCTGGAATCTAAATATTATCTTCACAGACAAATCAAGAGGCATCTTTGGAACAATGACTGGACATTCTTTTCTTATACCTGACTCATTGCTCTAATGTCAATAGCAAGCCAATTAGGGAAGGCACCCCCTGGACCTGTTGTTTGTGGACAAGTAGTGGGTGAAATGATGGTTGGGGCCATCTTGAGCAGGACAGTCACAAAATAAGAGAGTTTTCAGTTCTCAGAGAAATAAGGAGTGGGGGGTAGCAGAACTGCCACCTTCAACTTTTCTGGAGGAGACTTTGGCCTGTTTAGGATACTGGTTGAGTCGTCCCTTGGGGGGGAGTCCTGAAGGGCAGAGGAGTCCAGGGAGTCTGGACATTCTTCAAGAGGGAAATCTTTAAGGCCCAGGAGCAGGCTGTCCCCCTGTGCTGAAAGATGAGCTGGTGGGAAGGAAAACCATCCTGACTGAACATTGCCTGGTACTCAAGGATTAAAAAAGAGAGTTTATGACCCTTTGGAAGAAGGGGCAGGCAACTCAGGAGGACACAGGAGGGCTACAAGGATGTTGTGAGGTTACACAGGAAGAAAATTAGAATGGCAAAGCCAACTAGAGTTTAATCTGGCAACTGCTGTAAAAGCCAATAAAAAATGTTTATAGAAATCCATCAGTAGCAAAAGGAGGGCTAAGGAGAATCTCCATCCTTTATTGGATGCAAGGGGAAACATAGTGACAAAGGTTGAAGAAAGGTCTGAAGTACTTAATGCTTTCTTTGCCTCTGTCTTTAAGAGTAAGACGACTTGTTCTCAGGGTATCCAGTCCCCTGCACTGGTTGACAAGGACAGGGAGCAGAGTAATGCCCCCATAATCCAAGGAGAAATGGTCAGCAACCTGCTGCATTACTTAGACACACACAAGTCTATGGGGCTGGATGGGATCCACCCAAGGATCCATACCTGCTTAGTGGGTGAGGGAAAGACTGAGGATGTTTACCTGGACTTCAGCAAAGCCTTTGATATTGTTTCCCACAGCATTCTCCTAGAGAAACTTACTGCTAATGGCTTGGACAGGTGTACTCCTAACTGCGTAAAAACTGTCTGGATGGCCAGGCCCAGAGAGTGGTGGCAAATGGAGTTACATCCAGTTGGTGGCCGGTCACCAGTCGTGTTCCCCTGGGCTCAGTGCTGGGGCCAGTCCTGTTTAATGTCTTTATCAATGGCCTGGATGAGGGAATCAAGTGCAACCTGAGTCTGTTTACAGACAGCTCAGGTTGTGTGTGGAAGTGTTGATCTGCTGGAGGGTAGGAAGGATCTACAGAGATCTGGGTGGATGGGCTGAGGTCAGTGGTATAAGCCACATGGTCTATTCAGCCTGGCGAAGAGGAGGCTGAAGGGAGACCTCATTGCAGTTATAACTTCCTCATGAGGGGCAGAGGAGGGGCAGGCACTGATCTCTTCTCTGTGGTGACCAGTGACAGGACCTGAGAGAATGGCCTGAAGATGTGTCATGGGAGGCTTAGGTTGGATATTAGCCTAGAGGGTGGTTGGGCTCCCCAGGAAGTGGTCACAGCACCAAACCTGACAGAGTTCAAGAAGCATTTGGTTGATACTCTGAGGCACATGGTGTGACTCTTGGGGATGGTCCTGTGCAGGGCCAGGAGGTGGACTTTGATGATCCTTGTGGGTCCCTTCCAACTCAGCATATTCTGTGATTTTGTGAAGACCAAGTGCCGAGTTCTCCACTTGGGTCACAAAGCCCCATGCAACATTGCTACAGGCTGGGGGAAGGGTGGCTGAAAAGCTGCCTGGTGAAAATGGACCTGGGGTGCTGGTCAACAGCCAGCTGAACCATCACCATCTCTGGAAGTGTTCAAAAAACTTGTGGATGTGGTACTTAAGGATTTAGTTTAGTGGTGGACTTAGCAGTCCTGGATTAATGATTGGACTCAATGATCTTCAAGGTCTTTTCCAACTTAAACAATTGCATGAGCTTATGAATGTCTTCTATCCATTATCAATGCTACCTGCCAGAGGATTTTATGTATAATATGCCTCATACAAACCCAAAGGTGTAGTGTGCTTCCTGAATATGACAAAAAAACTTAAAAAGATCTATTTCTAACTCTTCAGACAAAATATGATTTACACCAAATGAGCCTGTTAGAGAAAAATAATCCCTAAACCCACAGATGAATTGATAAAAGGGAAGCTGACATAATTTACATACTATAGGGTGCTACTGGCAGAGTTTGATCCTGACTGTGTTTTTTTTCCTCATATTCTCTGCATCCAGACCTGAAAGATAAAACCTCTTTAGAAAACCTCCAGTGGAGCGTAGACCCAGGAGCTGACCTTTCAGAGTACAAAATGGACATTACTGTGATTGATACAAAGGTGAGCTTTTATAACAAGCCTGCATGTTCTGTGATGTTGAAAAAGCCTGAAAAACTCCTATCATGAACGTTGTTCTGGGCAGACCAAAGCCATTTTCTAACAAAATTTTAAATCCATCTCATTCGATATGTGTTTGCACATCTGAAATGTTTGTTTATGCATAGTACACTACAGTTATCCTAAAACATTCCACTCTCTAGTTGATAAACTCAGCAGACATATACTCAGTATGAAACTGATGCTTTTGAAGGTAGTTTTGAGTTTAAGACAAAAAATATTCTAAATCTTATAATTTTTCCTCTGAAAATGTGCAGTGCGATATCTCTGTGATATCTCTTTATGTTAAGTGATAGAAAATATGCCAGTAATGACTATTATCTTTCTCTGAGTTGGGTGCAGCTTGGTTATTAAGATCTCTGAGAATTTTCATGAAATCTACTTGTTTTATCTCTCTCACTTAAAGACTATCTTAAAATCTGTTAATTTGTCCAGTCTTTAATTTCTGTATGTTTCATTGTTACTTTTTATCTTTGGAGAGTTTAACATGAATTTTTTTTAAGGCATTTGTTGCCCATGAAATAAATGCTTCACACTTGAATTTCAGAATGTGTTATTCTTTACATAGATTTTATATCTTTATCATGCAGGCATTACTGCAGGGGGAAAAAAGAAGCCAGTAATTGCTATGAAAGTGTTTCAGAATACACAGAGGTGACACTGACTACACCAGTTGCATCTGAGGGCAATTGTCATTTTTGCTTTTTTTAGGATGATTCTCAGAGCAGAGTCGGAGGGGAAGTTGTTGATATGGATTATACATATGTTAGTGATAGTGTGCTATTAAAAATGAAAAATCAAGAGCAAAATCAGGAAAGCAGTCCAAGTAAGACTTTTTTTCTTCCCCTTTGGTTTGCTGCTTTTTGTGGTGTGTGAGGGGTTGTTGTTTGGTTTTTTTTTTTTTTTGTTTGGGTTTTGGGTTGGTTTTTGTTGTGTTGTTGTTTGGAGGTTTTTTTGAGAAGGGAAGAGTAAATGGCATTTTTTCCCTGAATGACAAGATAGTAAAAAATGTTTTGCAGTAAAAAACTGCTGATGTGTTTTTATAGGTTGCACAGATCAGTATGGTTGTGGATTTTGAGGGGTTTTTTTAAACTTAGATTAAGAAAATTAGAGGATTTGTTCCAAGAGAGCCAGTAGCTATTCCTTTATAGTGCTCAAAGAGTTAAATACTTAACCATGTAACAGCTCTGATCTCACCTGCAACAATCACTCTTGTAACAAACAGCTTTGAAAGTTTACTATGTAATCATACCAGACTTTGTATGGGAAGATGAAATGTTACTTCTTTTGACACACATTCAGTCAAAATGCACTTTCTTGACTAAAATCTTGGAGAGGCTGATTTGGATGTTCATTGTTCTTTTTATAATAGGAGGAGAAATAACAGAGATGTTTGATCAAACAACCCACGAAGAATATGAATCCTGCCTACCAGAAGATAGTCCTTCTGCATGTGATGAGAAAGAAACTCTTCATGATGAAGAGTGGGATAAGGGAATAACAGTAGCAAGCAAGAAACTAAAGAGTGGGATATGATTCGATGTTGTCTTTATTAGACTAGTTAAACTGCAAAAGTTGATTTGAAATCGGGCTCTGTTCTCTAGGAATGAACATGCCAAGTAAACCATCAGTTCTTTTCTCATAAATTCATGTGAAAATCGATTAATTGCAAGGACATAAAATAAACCAATGTGAACATTATTTTGCTAGTTCAATTATATAGTCACCACACAAATGTGGGATGTGTAATGAAAGTTGGCATAACAGCAGAACAGCAAAGTGACCCTTAGAGCAAACAGAATCACAGAATATGCTGAGTTGGAAGGGGCCCACAAGGATCAAGTCCAACTCTTAGCCCTGTGCAAGATCATCCCCAAGAGTCACACTAGGTTTTGGCTACAGATTACTTACTTCCTTTCTTCTCCCTGTGCTAAGTTCTATCAAAGATTTTACAGTATTTTATATTTTAAGCAACCTTTCCTTTGATATTCTGCTTGTCTTTTTTACTTGTCTTGCTACTGTTTTCCTGCTACTCCAGGAATGCTTTTTGATTGCTGGTTCAATCAATTCTATATTGTTTTTAGTACATACTTGAATCTGTTATCTCAGACTGAATGAACGTGACGGTTTTTTATTGGTTTTAGTTGGTTAATAATTTTAGAGAAGTTTTCCCAGGCAGTCTGTTAACCTTATATGACATCTAACTTTTTGTTTTGCATGTATATGTACAGAGCATGAGGATAAACAAGATAAAACCAAACAGAAAGCTTTTGTGGAGCCATATTTCAAAAGTGATGAAAGGTAATTTAATTTGTTCTGTATAGACATTTTAAGGTTCTTTATATTTTCCCTATAGGGAGCTTGTTCCTCCATAAAGTCAACATGTATGTAATATGTTAGCAGTTGAAGATGCACAGGTAAAAGATCTACTAAATTAGATAAAAGCTAGGGTAGGGGAAAAAAGTTAACCATGTTGAGATGCCTGTCACATTTGCTGAGGAGAAGGGATTGCCTCTTCTGCTTTTTATAATTTATGGAATGCAGTGTTTTATAATCTGGTGTGGTTTCTTACATGCATGTGGTCATGTATGAGTTTAAGAGCCAAGAACCTATAGGTTGCTTGTACAAATAAAAACCTTTCCTCCTCTGATATTTTTGCCCCTTGCTTTACGCAATAAATGAATAATGTTCAACAACTGTGCCTCTTAGTGCCTGCTCTATTTCCTGTCTGTATAATCATCACTGGAAGTCTGTATCTTCATTTCATAATGATACCAAGGCCTTCAGTTAGCTTGTTTGTTTGTTTGTTTGTTTGTTTACTTTGGTATATGTTTTCTTTGTAAAGGAAAACTTGTTTAGTGTTTTGTGAGCAGATAAGTTGAAAAGAATCTTTTCTGGTCGTGAACCCCATCAGATGTTCGTCTCGTGGAAATTGGTGCAATCACAACTCAGACAAAAAAAAATTCAGAAGATTTATATTTGAATAATTTCTATCTAATAATTACTTTCAGACTATGAAAAGCCATAATAATGAGACATATATCTCTGGTTATGTAAAAGATCATATTATATTTAAAACCTTTTGTTTATAAAAATAGTCCTATTCAGCTATGAAATACAATCTGATTTAGGTTTTGCAGGCATTTTCTGGTATTTTTTTTTCCTTGACTCTACATCATTATGTTCTAAAAACCAGAAATTTCCAGTCATGTAGAAGAAATAAAAGGACTATCATGTGAAAATGTTTCTGTTTTTCAGAAAGAATACTGTGTTAGATTTTCCTCATATTGAGGTTATTCGAAAAAAAGAAGAAAGAAGAAAATTACTTGGCCATACTTGTAAGGAATGTGAAATAGTAAGTAGTGCTTTAAAAATTTGATAAGTCTTCCATTCCCCTAACTCTGATGGTATTTAAGTGCTACAGTGCTGTTGAAATCATGAATCTGGTTGCATCAGTATCATTACCTACAGCAGCAGAGGAGTAAATGTTTTACCAAGTTTGCAGTTGGTTTGTTTGTTTTCAGCTGTAGTAACTGCATATAAAGTCTTGGAGGGGGGTGTATGTGTATGATAGAAGCTTTTTACATCAAGGTTCCAGTAAGATCAGTAAGTCAAAGAACTATTATAAGACTTAAATTTCAGCTCAAAAGCTCTACTGAAATTTACAGGATTCAGTAAGTTCTATGTCCTGTTGTTCCTATTTATAAATAGATATATTTATCTCTGTTTTGTCTGGTTGTTTTTTTCCTTGTTTTCTGAGAAAAGTTTTTCAGATAATTGCACCAGCACAGGTGACGATGTGTTTATATGTGCAAATGCATGCAGAAATGTTTACATTAGCAGGTTAAAAAGCATTAAATTTTAGGTTTCATGTTCACATTTTTTTCCTCCCTTTCAGTTTAGTAAACTGCTTTCGGATACTTGGTGTAGAGATAAAATATTGAAGTAGTTACATGTGTAGTAAAGACATATTTCATTTGGCCATTAATAGACTTTCAGGCTGAACTTAATCATTGGTGATGATCTAATAAATTATGACTCACTAGAAATGTGGATTGATGACTTAATAATGATGGATTTTCTGGACTATTTTGATTTAATTTCCACACCTATATAGAACCAACATTTTTCATTGATTCTCCTGCTATTCACTTTGTAAGCAAGTCCCATTTACTTAGCTGAAGAAATTTACAAGAGTATATTTTTACTTAAAATACATTCCTGAAAATGTTTTGATAAAACTCATTAAATACAAATACTTAAATTTTATAATTATAAACATAATTTTCAGAAATATGTTTGAATTAAAGAGTTTGAAAGAAAACAAGATATTGGAAAATAACCAAACCAAAAAAAAACCCCAAACCTTCAGTCTATTTCTTGGTCCAAGAGCCACGTGGTTAGTGTTTTAATTTCCTGTTTCTGTAACCTACAGATCTCTCTGCAAATGCAGTTTTTGTTACTTTCTGTCAAGCTAGAGTGGTAACTGTGGTGTCTGAAAACATTCAGAGCTCAGATTTTGTAATAGTAGGTTTCTATATTAAGTGTCAGGAAAATGTGGTTTTGTTTTTGGTTTTGGTTTTTTTGAGTTGTTTTTTTTTAAAGTCTACACCATTCAAGATGAGTGTCATGGAATGTAGGGAATGCTTGGCTCTATCACTGCACAATAATAAAACTAGCTTTGAATTAAAAGCCTATTGAAGAAGGGAGTATTGGATAAAGCATAAATGGTGCTTTTAAAAAGTTTTGGCTTACTGATTAGCCATGTGGGTTTGAAAAGTCGCCAAAGTCTCAGGAAATATTTAGGGAGTGGGTAGAAATCAGTCAACTGTTTCTGGCTGTGTGCTGCAAGTGATGTGAGTTGGGTGAGTTACCCGTCACTCTGAGAAGACCTGACAGATTTGATTTCTGCACATGCCGCAGCAGACTGATATTACAGTCCTTTATAAGTGCTTATCTTAAAACTGTGGAAGCATCTTATTTGCCTTACAGTGTAGAACTTTTGATAAGAGGTCTTGTTTTGTTTTGTTATGACTTTGTTATGCTATCAGAGAAAGACTGTAGGCAGGAGTTACAGGTAGCTTGTAACATTTGTTAATGTGGTTATAAAGTTCTAGCTACAGTTTAGATGAGTAGGAGACTCAGTCAGATGTTTTTATATGCATTTAGATTACAGAAATTATTCTGTAAGTAATTTAATGCTAAACTAATGGGAGGCATATTTTAAGGGTTTGTTCCCTTTCTGAGACTTGAAACTGTAGAGTTCTGTAAACAGTTATTTTACCAAGAAGACACTGCAGGATGAGATATTGCCTGTCTTCACACATGGAAAAGACTAGCTCGAATGTTTTGTATGGACTGAAAATGCTGTGGATAGTGAGATCAATCTAGAAAACAGCTGAGAGTTCTTATTGTTGTTTAGCTGACATAAATAACTCTCCCATTCTCTGTCAACCCTAATAGATTTCTAAACAAGCCAAAGAAAAAAAGTTACTTTCTAATTTCTATTTAAAACATACTTGTCTTGATTTTTGATTGGTATTTTTATTTTCTGTTCCCACTGAACTGTATTGTATTTCTTACTGTTGGATCTATAAATATTCCTTACCAATCTAAATGTTTTAATTAAAAAAAAAAAAAAAAGACAGCACATTACAAACTTTTAGTAGGTAAATTTCTAGAATTTCAGGCTATTTACAGTACAAAAATATGGAGCACTGCTAATTATCCCTAAATAAGACTCAGTATTATTTGGCTTATACAGATATTGTAGAATTCTTATAATTGATTTTGCTGACTTAACACCATGTTCTTACCTTTTGCAGGGAAAACTGATGTGTACCATATGATAATTACCTGTTCCTTCTCTTTCAGTAGTCTCTAGATCTTTATCTGAGTGACACAAACATCTTTCCAGCTGGGTCTCTGAAGTCTAGCTGGAAAAGTAACCCCAATCTATCTGACTCAATCCCCAAGCTACTGTTGATACCCACTAAAGTTCTGGTCTTGGCATAGGCTGCTTTAAGGGAACATTTTGTAAGACAGTGGCAAATATTGTCAAATGAAGTGTCTCCAGATTCAGTGACTGATCCTGGACTTAGACCCAAAAAGTTTTGAAGAACCTTTTACTAGGGGCTCATAACAATTCCTGGATATTATCTGTGAAATGGGCTGTTTGTTCTGTCCCACATTCCAGGACTTCATAGTAGACAGACCAGTAACCTGAAATTTTGGTTACAACCTGCTAACAACCCAAACCTGTGTTCTTGACTGGGAGATCCACATGTTACTAGATCAGATTCCTGTACTAATAAGGGAGAGAGCAGAGTATGTCACACAGTCTGAATTGATTTAGGGAGGGGAGAAAATGTACCTGTTTTAGGCAGAGTTGCAGTTCCCACAGAGTACAGAACCACAAAATGAAATGTCTGCTTTTCCTAGTTTGTGCAGTGTTGACACCAACGTATTCAGAGCTGTGATTACTCTTTTCTGTACAATCATCACTATTTATATCTCATGATTTTTTGAAGGAGGATTTTTTATGCCTATTTTATACTTTATCTGCACACTTTACAATTCCAGGTAGGTTTTCTGAAATCCTACCAGTAGCTGGGGAAAGGAAGTAATCTCTATTGGCCCCTTTTCCTTTCCCGATTTCCCCAGTCTAGATCACTTTGCAGTTGATCAAACGAGCTTTAAACTTCAGTTTGCCTTTTTTGCATTGTAACACTGTCATTTTGGTAGAATTGTTTTACCATTTCTACAAGGATCAGATTTCTTGTGTGGCTGTGACTGTTGGCTTGCCACTTGAGTCAAATGGTGAATTCACTTTGAAAATATTTTGGCACTCTCTGATATCAAAGTGCCAGATTCGTAGTTTTAGGAGGCACAACTAGGATTACAAATTGAAACAGTAGAAAACTGCCTTGGAAAAAAACCCACACCCTAACTTTCTTAGATGCCACTCGTGGGAACACATAGTGAACAGATTTGAAGTCTTTGCAGCCTCCAGTACAGCTGACAGGAATAAAAGAGTAACCAATTTACTGCAGTGAATGTGCGGTTAGCAGACAGTTTGTGGAGTCCCTGTGGCAGTCATCTGGTTAAACTAGCTCTTTATTTACTCCTAATTAGAGGGTTATTAAGAAGGAAGAATTTTGACTTAATTTACAGCAGCAACAGTAAACTTTAGACAAAAAATAATTTCGCAGTGCAGCTTTTGTGGTGTGTTTCTTCACTTTTTTTTTTTCTATTTTATTTGTAAATGCAAGCTGAAATTTAGTAAATTTTTTTTAAAAAATTCCCATCTACTTCAACACCTGTGCTACTTAGATTTGTAAAATCAGTCAGTAAAATGGTTGACATAAGCAATTATACGCATGCCTAAACCTCATACCTATGGTATGTTAAAAGATAGGAAGCTGACAAATTTGCCACCATAAATAATCTGTAAGTTCAGTAAGCTTTTAGGATAATTGCCAGGTGTTTGTCACTTGGATAACAAATCTCTACCCTTGGCTATCCTCACCATTATTTTTAGATAACTGTGTTAATAAACACAGTGATTGACAATGTCATTGTGTAAAGCAGTTGCTGTATATATATGAATTTGGTAACATGGATTTTTTTCCCCCCCTAACATTTAGTATTATGCAGACATTCCAGAAGAAGAGAGAGAGAAGAAACTAGCTTCCTGTTCAAGACACAGATTTCGCTACATTCCTCCAAGTACTCCTGAAAATTTCTGGGAGGTTGGATTTCCTTCCACCCAAACCTGCATGGAAAGAGGTTTGTGCAAAAAAAGTCTTACAAAGCACTTTTCAAAGCTGATTTTTTTTACCAGAAATGATTGCCTGAAGTTATCTGTAGTTCATATAGTAGCCTTTCTCACTCTGTCCTGCTGAAGTCTTTTTACTTATCAGTAGCCATTATTTTGAATAAATATTGTCCATTTTTCCTGTACTACTAAGAAAAGAATATATGAAAACTTTCTTAGACCTTAGATAGAGAAGGCAGAAATAATTGAGATTTTCCTAGAACTTAATTAAAACCCTACATGTCTTTGAATCAAAGCAGGAATTGGATTTTCAGAGGCAAAGGCTGAGAGACTGTACCTACTGAGGAGAGACAGGCAGCACTACTGATGTCCTTTGTCAGTATTTTTAGAGCTTCATTATACCACATGATAATGAGTATGTTTAAATAGGCGTGATTAAATAGTTTTTAATACATATACCTTGCTTGTTAGTGACAATAAAAAAACGTGCTGTTTGGTTTGGGGTTTTTTTTTGACTTTTCTTTACACAGGGGTTTGTTCTTTCTTAAATAGTTTTTCAAAATCCTAGAGCTTGGTATAAAAATTAGGTTTTATTAATGATATTAAAACGTAGTGAGTTTGTAGTATGCTCTATATAGATTTCTTCAGAAGTGGAAGGAGCCCTATAGGAACTCTCTGAGTTGTTTGTATCTTTACTTGTGCATCTGTTATTAGCTGTGAAGAATTTATCTTGTAACAACAGTCAGGTCAGGCATAGGAAAATGTAGCCAGAGATGTGTTTATGTTCTTGTGTGGTAGTGTTGCCGTATTATCCTTAATCTTTCAGAACAAGGAGCTTTGATTTTTACACAACTTGTTACTACCCTTTTGGAATCTGCTTACAGCCTCTTTAAAAATTCTTGGCTCTCTCCTTGTTCTGCTAGAGTAAGAGCTGTTCAGTTGTTAGTGGTCCTCAAAAGCATATCAGAGGCAGACTTTAGGTCAACCCTCCCTCAGAAAAAAAAAAAAAAAGTAACACTGCAGCAAAAACTCTAAAACACCAGAGAGGGTTCCTATAATGAGCAAATGCAGCTGTCTCTCCAAAATATTGGGGTACAACAGATGTATTTTTACTTCTTACTGGTATCTTGAACCAATTGTGGTTTGTGTGTGTTTGTTTTGGTTTTTTTAAATAACTGAGTTACATAGACAGCATTTTCCATCTATGAAGGAGGAAGCTACTACTCTCACTTCAGTGGATGTTGTTCCTCATAAAAAGTAAGGGTTTGACAAAAGCCAGGTGCTGTAATTGACCTTGCATAAAATGTCTGCTCACTGTCAGTGTTAGCTAAGTTGAGTTTGTTCTCGAAATTTTCTGTACACTTTTCTTGTCAGAAAGCTTTCAACGTGTGTTTGATCTGTAGGTTGATGTTTGGCTTTTTCCAGGTGGATGAGTCTTCAATAAATAAGGGTACCCTTAAAACAGAGGGATGCATTGTTTAGATCCATGTGCCTGAAGTTTCATTCCTCTGCATGACTAGGATTTACATTTTTAAAAGTGATTTTTATTAGTCAACTGAATTAGCAGTACATGCACACTTTGTTACTCTTACATAAAATCTTCTGTAGACAAGAAAATGAAAAGTGCGGCTTTGTTTTTTAACAGTTGAACAATTCATAGTTACCATTCTCCAGTGCTGACTGTCTGTATTGCATTACTATGCACTCATCTGCTAGAAAGCAAAGGAGTGTTTTAATGAATGATATTACACCCTGGGATCTCACAACTTTTTGTGAAGTGAGAACCAGTTGCCACAGAAGGAGGTAAAAATCACAAGTTATTTTTTTTGCGGGTAAACACAAATTTAAGCTAAAGTTATGCCTAGTTTTATATTATATTTCTTACTTCAGATTTATTCTTATTCTTTTCAGGATACATTAAAGAGGATCTTGCTCCCTGTCAACGTCCAAAAAGACGGCAGCCTTATGCTGTGATGTTTTCTCCAAAAGGCAAAGAGCAAAAGACATAAAGGATGGGGAAGTAAAGCCTGCCAACTTGAAGCGTATCTTTCCTGCCCGTAGATATTTATAGTTAATATAAACTTGAAATAAAGGACTGTGTTTTCCACAATGATAGATAAATTGTTTAATTGAATATGTAAATTTTATAAAATTCATTTGAAAGTCTGATTTACGGGGAAGCAAAAACTATTTAATGTATGTTTGTTTTATATTGTGTTAATACATTTTGTATTAATTTTTGCACCCGTCAGACAATGAGTCTCCCGCTTTTTTTTTTTTTTCCTTTGAAGTCAACAGCTAAAATTCCAGCAAATCCTGTCTAAACTTTGTGTCAGCGAGTAACTGCTCTGAAGTCACTGAAATCAGTTATTCTTGCAATGGTAAATGTCTGTAAATGGGAACAGAAATGTGGATTTTCTAGGGTGCTTTTATTTTGCACTGGATTTTCTTATATAGCCTTTCTTTTATGTCAGTAATGGTTATATTTGCTTGTAATAAAGTTGTATTAAATATGGAATGTATCTACTGTTAGTAGTTTGGAGGTAGGAAAACCATGAAGTCTAAGTGTCTTTCCTAAATTTTGGTTTTAAGTATATAGCACCATGTTTTCCTAAGTATTTAAATTAGAATGTCCAATATTTCTTCTCTTTTTTTTTTCTTAATTTGGACCTGTTTGCATATCTGTGTCTCACTTGTTGATAGAGATAAGCATTGTTATTTCTAAATTTGAGTGACAGCTCTGCCCAGAGTTCTCCTAGTGGACAGCAATGCTTATCACCTAGATTACAAAGGAGTCTCCAGCAGAGGTATTTTAAATTAATTTTTTGTAGCAGGGGATATGGTTCCATACTTACGTTTGGAAAGAAAGAGCATACAGTATCAACAGAAGCAGGGTAATACCTACCTAGTGATCTTTGGCCTGCCTACCTGTAAGATACTTAGGAATAAAGAAGCTACAATCAGAGTTAGGTTCAACCAGTCAGAACCCTTTTTTAAAAAGAGATCATAAGGCAAGCAACTATTTAAATGCCTTAAGTCAAAGTAAAATAATAGGAAGGACAGATACTCCAACGATTTATATATATTTAAAAATTTTTATATATAAAAATGTATCTGTAATTTCTATCCTTGTATTTGATATGTGTGTGTGTGTTTATAAAAATATGTATTTAAAAACTAGGTGGTTAGGGCCATTTGATTGCCGGTGTAGTTATATAGATATGTTGGCAAGTTCTGCTGGTGGAGAGGTCAGGGCGTAGGCCTAAGGAGAAAACCAAAACAAAAAAGTGATCAATTTAACTGTAACACTGAGTAACACAAAATCCTCCTAGGTTGAAATCACAGGCCTTGCAGAAAAATAAGAAAAGGTATAACAGTAGGCATTGTCCTCATTCTACCTGCTTAGTTCATATATTTACGATAGCCTTTCACAGGGGTATATCCTAAGGCATAGCAAAGGCATGAAGCCAAATAACAATTAAAATCTTTGGTCATATTATAACACATTTATTGACAATGTTTACACACTGTAAAAGTTCATTTCTTGGAGCAGACAGTCAAAGAATCCATGCCAAGGTAAGTCCAGTTTCCTGAAAATGAAAAAAAAACTTTGAAGAAAATTAATGGGTACTGCTAAAAATTGGAATTTTTGCAGATATCTTGAAAATTGTTTTAAAACAGCTGTTACATGCTCTGAATAAATATTTATCCATAAAAAAGAAGTTTTTAACACTAAAAGAAGGGTAGGAGACTGCTTTCAACTAGGGAGAATCTTTACAAACTAGAAGTTATGTCTACAATAAGAAAAGTTAGAGGCACACTATAACTCATCAAATGTAAAATGTGCAATGAAATAGGCTGTTTGAGAACATTTCTGAATTAATTATAAATCCTATTTTAAAGAACTATCAGAATGAACAAACTTCACAATAAGTTTGTAAATTAAAAGATCAAGCAATAATGGGAACATTTAAAGGTAAGAAGATGAGAAAAATCAGGATTTTTACAGCGATGTTCATTATGGAAGTGCCTAAGAACCTGCCTTTATAGGGTGGGTCAGCAGAACCTGTTATAAACTGAAATGGCAGAGAAAGTCAATGGCAGCCAGGACTGGCGCCCACTCCCATGGATTGAAAAGTGAGTGAAGAAACTGCTAAATCCCTCCACTGCAGCGTAGAACCTGGCATTCAGAGCAGCTTTGGTGGTCAAGGAGAACAAAGTGACAATGCTACCATCAGGCTTTAAAGAAGACTTCAAGGAGGTCAGTGGTACCGCAGCCTGATGAGTTTTACAGAGTACTGGAAAATGGGCTAATTGGTAAGAGCTTAACAAACAAGATTTTCAGATGAAAAAGATGACACTTTTTAAAGGTGCCATTCTGATGGTCTTTTAGACTCTGAAGGTGTCAAAGCATGATTCATCTGACAGCTCACAGGAGAACCAAGTCATGGCACAAAATGAAAAGTTCTTTCCTAGATTATGGCTGTTTAAAGGTACATAAATCATCAGAGCAGGAGGAAATTGCGGTGAGGTACTGCTAGATCCCATTTCATTCAGCCTTTTTGTGTTTTGAGAAAGGGTGGAGGGCAAAGTAGGAAGTCAGTTAAATTATTCACTGTGCAAGTCGAACTGGGATATAGAAGAGAGGAGAATTTGCAGAGCAGAACCCCTTCACACACAAGAAGGAGTGTGATAGGTGCCAATAAAGTCATGAAGTGTGGAAGCAGTAAATAGGAAGGGTTGCTCACCCAGGGGCAGCAGGTTTAGTTACAAGCAGAAAGGAACAGATAGTGTTTGTGAGGATATTACTACTCCACTAGAGGGCAGTAAGGAACTGCTTTTGTGCTTCAAACATTGCAAGAACTACCCTTTCCCTTTTTGTTAGCCAATTTTTTAAAGACTTCGATTGTTCTTAAAATTGTAGATTTTAAAACTGTAGGTCTCTTGCCTAGCTCTTCTAGTGACAGAAGAAGTGTTTCATCTTCACAAGTAAGAGATCATTTTAAAAAAAGTCTAGAAACAAGAATAGAAGCAGACTGATTTCCTTCCAAAAAAAGAAGAGAAATTCCTAAGGAAACATCAGTAGTCTGAGGAACCTTTGTGTACCAAAAAGTTGAGTGAAATTTGTAAATTTTAAAAGTTCAGTTAAAGATTACTATATGCAGTCATTTCTAATTGCAATTTCCAACTATGCTTTAGCTGGGTTTTTTTTGCTAACTCTTGCAATAATGTAAGAGGAACTGAAGGAAAAAGGGAGCCAGTCAAGAAAGTCTGCTAAAAAAAAAAAACTTTAAATATTGTTACATTTATAATTAACATGGGCTATCTCTATCCTCTTCATGGCATGGCAGCACATTGTGATTGCAGTCAGCTGTGCTCTCAGAGCAGTGGACTGTGGTTTTGAGCTGTTTTTTTCCACATCTGTAAGCACTGAAAAAGAAAGGAAAAATGGGATAAAAACCATAGCCTTGAAGTAGGCCTGTGTCTTTAGAGGAGATTGGGACAATTGCCTGCTTTCTTACATGAAGCCAATACTCAGAATTTGGGAGAGTGGGTTAAATTTCTTCAGGTGTATTCAGGTGGGAGCATGCAAAGGAGAATCTCCGAGTAGCAGCACCTGTTGGGTCATGCATCCACCATCTGGTAGAACAGCCAGGATAGTCACAGATGTCTTCTAGTTTCCTCGTCTTGTCTGTGTCTTAGGATTCATGCTGCCTTTTCTCATTTTATGAGATAGGGGAAAAATTAGCATAATTGATGCTGGGATTTGTGCCTCTTGTAGATATGTAGATAAATAATGACATGACACTAGCCATGACTGGAAGAGCTTGAAGACTTGACATTCATGTAGTAAGAACTCTCAAAGAAACAATAATACCTAAGAACACATCCATTTGACATCAAAAACAGTCCTCACTGGAAGGGCTGAAGTGGGTTCTGAAAGTCAGTTTTTCCTAATTCAAATCAAAGAAACACTCAGGGGTTCCAGCAGAGTTCCTTCTGGACTGCTGGAGTACAGTGCATCCATTGCCCTGGATTCCTGGTGATTCTTAGCATATCTTAAAGCCTCTGATGTTCAAACACTGGTATGGGCCCAACAATTGTACAACCTTCAAGTCAGTGGCATAGTGTCATTCCCAAATACATAAAGATGACAAGGTGATGGCTTTAGCACTTCCGGAGTGTTATCTGTCATGTCTGCAAAGGGATCTCAGCCTGAGAAGCAAATCTTTGTTTAAAAGCCATTTTGGGAGCTGCTTGGAGCAGAGAAGTCACACAGATCGTTAGTAAAATGTCCCCAGGCAAACTGCATTTCCTGCAGTGCCTTCGAGGCCAACTTGATCATTAGTTGCTTTTAATTAGTTGTTCTTTTGAATTTTGCCCCTCTCATGCAGAAAGGATGAATGCCTTGTTCCTAATGAAGCAGAAGGAAAACAATGTCTGTTTGCTGATAATTAGAAACTCCTGTCAAAAGAAAAAAGAAAAACAATAGAAGAGGACAAAATCATAGGCAGGGGAAGAACGGAGGAAGGAGCAGAAGGGAGTGATGAGGTGCTTGTTGATGGTATCATCATGGTATGGGGTGTCAGTGAACTCTTGTTTTTAGAAATAATAAACATCATCCCCAGCCCTCAGAAAAACGGATTTGCTGTATTCAAATCAATCAGTTGTGGCAAATTTGGAAGAAGGAGCTGATGATTCCTGTCTTAACGCAGAAAGGCTGCTTGGTCTGAACAGAGTCAGTCTTTGCTTTGTTTGTGCACAGAGTGAGCATAAAATGTCCAGGAGTATTCTCTGTGTGAAAGCATGAACACCTAACTACCAAGGCAGGGAGTGAGACCCTGCACAAATAAGCCCAAAGTTTACCTCAATGGAAGGTGGCCCTTGCTTGCTTTAGGCCCATGTAGTTTCTTTGGATATAAACTGAAATGGAAGGTGTTTTCCTCAGAATTCCTCTTGCTTCTTTAGTCTGTGCTTTGCAGTTTATGTTCCTGTATGCCAGCACATGGAAAAATTATGTGCTGTAGATGATATAAACAGTGTTAACTTCTGTGAATTGTTTTACAGGTTACAAAGTGATGGTAAACAGGTTGGGTTGCTGTGTCTTAGGACAAGGATGTGTTATAGGAATACCCAATGCATTTTGATCATCAAGTTTGAATTTATGAGTCCAGTAAATATCAATAAATCTCTCCTCGATGGTCACATTGATGGATTTTTTTTTTCTGGGTTACAATTGTTTTCCATCTCCCCCTCTTTTGAAATCTGCTTCTCCTCTTCAGAATACTTTTTAGGATACGTGCGTGGCTAGACACATGCGTGGCATCCTGGGCAGTGCTTGTGGTGCAAGCATCATCACAGCAGAGCCACAGGGACATCCAGGTGGCTGGGAGGAATTACTGTATCATCTTCATTGTGAAGAGAGGCACTAGGAGCCTCCAGTGAAAGGCAGGAACGCCTGTCTCCCACACTTGGCAATGGTGGGAGATAACCCTGCCCATCAGGAACTTTGAGAAGGACATTTGAAGACCACTTGTCCTTGGGTGGCTTTTGTCTGCATTCCAGCTGCAGCCATGAGCAAGGCTTATCAGTCTCATTTATAGCCAAGGCTACTTTTTAGCAACTTGTTAGAAAAATTAATTGGAACTTAAGGTCAACATGGGAGAAAGGTTTTTCATCTCAAAGGGGAAAGCTGATTTAAGCTCAAAGCATGTATTTGTTAGGAAGGTATCTTCAAACCAAATCAG